ACAAGCTCATGAGAACTGTTCGATATGTGGCTCTTTGTACTTCCTTACCTAAGAAAAGAAAGAAAGAACGAAAAATACAGACACATGGAGCGCGGTCTCTCCCCACCCCCACTTATCAGTCTGCTGCAGAATGCTCCGCACATTCGGCTCGGTGCCTGACCAGAATAGCGACCAGTGATGAACCCTTTCATTTTCTTTAGTCCTTTTCTTTGATTACAGTTTTATCGGTCCAGCGGCAAAGGTTCGGGGTTCAGAGCGACCCTAGAAAGACCCAGACTAAGTGACAGCGAGTGATATTGGAGAGTGACGCAAGAGGAGCCTCCGGTGATCAGTGATCAGTCTGAATTGTTTCCCAGATGAGTGACGCACAATCGCGCTATCCTTTCTGGTGCTGTTCCCCTGTCTTCTGTCCAGCTATCTGAGGAATCCACAGAGCATGTCTGTTGCTCCCCTGCTAACGCAAATTACTGCCATCGATCCTTTGTATGAACCGAGACCCTGTGGATTCCTCAGTGTGAGGCGTCACTGTTGCCATTGCGAGTATTTTAAGATTTTTATTTTTTCCGTCATGTTGGATTGTTACCTCTTCGTTTATCCCTTTGTGTGATTCGCTACTGGAGGCTCGGCAGCGTGAAGTGATCCTAACCCGAGAGGATGGCTCTCAGAGCACGCGCGAGAGGATGAAGATTCTGGAGGGGTGGAGGAGGGTGGAGGTGCTCCTCTGTGTCAAGACAGTTCACGGCAAGCCGCGCGTCCACCTGCACAAAGACACCCCGGAAAACTGCTGCAAATGGAGCGCGATCAGAGGAAAAGACGGTTAAGACCAGACCCAAGACGGAAAACAGCATTCTCCTTTTCAGGCAGAAGTTTTTTTTCTATGGGTTCAGATTTTGTACTTCCTGTAAATATGTCTGTCTTCCAGGCAAATTGGGTACCGAAATTTACAGTTAAAAACGCAAATTGTATTAAATGTGTGAAAAAAGAGCTTTAGTTTAAATTTCATTGCAATTTTCTTTTTTTTTTTTCTTTTTTCTTTAACTTTTTTCATTTTGTTTAAATAAAAGGTTATCTCTATGTGGGTTTGCTTTGCGCCGACGGTGTCAAGCTGCTGTTAAAGACAAATATTTGTAGATCAACTGAATCTTTACGACGTGCACTTGGCTTTGAATTCCCTTTGCTTGTGTTAATATCTGCCCACGCGAACTGGCAGGCCTTCTGCCATGCACTCTGACACGCGCGCACAGTGACACACACCCACACAGAAAATCTAGAGGTAGGAGAAAGCGAAAGGACAAAAGAGATTGTGTAAAGGAAAACGAATTTATCCATTTCAGTTGGATAAAGCTTGGTAAAAGAAAGAATGAAGAACAGAGGTTTCAGTCCTGGTATGCTGCCCTCTTCTTGTAAACATTTCCGGCTCAAATGGATCCAGTTCGCGCTTCCCAGGCTTTCTCAGACTGGGACCGATAAAAGCGGCTCTCTGTATGGCTCCTTATTCAGCCCCGAGGCTTCGTTTTTACGAGCTTTGAGTCTGTGCCGTCGCTAAAGAAGATTATAAATTACCACAGAAGTTTCACATTGATTTATGTCGAACGGGAGAGTCTTTTCCGCGCCAAGGAGCATTGGGAGAGCAGAGGACTGGATATCGGTAAAATTGTAATAATAATAATAATAATAATAATAATAATAATAATAATAATAATAATAATAATAATAATAATAATAAAGTTATGTTGGGCCATCGTAGTTTGTGCTCCATCTTAAATATGCGTTTTGTGAAATTCAGAGGGCTGCAGATTGAGAACCGAAGCGCATTGTGATTTTATGTTTTAAGACTTTCAATCTATTAATTTTATTATTTTATATCGTTGTTGATTTTACTTAGTTAAACTAGTGTTGTCTGCAGGAGAAGGCTTGGCAGACATTTAACACCGTTCCGATTACTTTGATGGGACTTTTGTGTTTTAGATTCGTCTTGTTACCGCGCAGTTTGAATGCGCTACTTCGTCTAACTGTATTTTTGTTATTTTGAGAATGAAATATCTCCGACTTTATAAGTATTTCTTCGAGTTGACCGTAATATGCAGACAGGCGCAGTCGGAAACCGTAACGTCCCACATACTGTCAAACAATTTTTGCATAAACCTTTCGACGCGTTTAATTGTCCGAAGCAAATCTGCTTTATTTTTGTCGGCGGTTTTTACAAAAACTTGACGTTTACTCTATTCTTTTGTTTAAATATTGGTTATTTACCTGGAAATAATTTAAATTTTCCAAATACTTAAACGGCGTCTCATCTTTAGCAAATACACACTTTATCTAATTTAAGATAAGTTACAACGTTGATGTTTATATCAAGCTTTTACCGCCTGCTGCAAAGAAGCAGAGAAACGACCAACATGTGATATAATATGTGAAGACAGAGGGTGTGGAGCAGCGACTCTCCGCAAGTTGCCTGAGGAGAATTTGGACGCTAGATATTTTCTCAGAGTAATTTCTCACAGAGTGTAATACGAATACAGAGGGCCTCTCACAGTCTGCTCTCACCGATCAGCGCATGTTCCGAGCTGCAGCAACACAGAACCTGCAGCAACACAAAACCTGCAGCAACACAAAACCTGCAGCCCAGCCGCTTGCAATTATTCGAGGTTTTTAAACCAACTCTTTGACAACAACTACCATGTGAGAATATAGGCTACTGTTCAGAAACTGACACAGGCAATGAGGCAAAAAATAAATAAAATAATAATAAAAAATTATAATAATAATAAAGTAAATAGGCTAAATAAAGTTGTCTTCCCTGCTCATTTACGTGCTGCAGTTTTATGAATCAATGCTCAGTTTCCGCAATCCTCAGAAACTGAAGAGCAAATATCAGAATCCACAACAAAGTTCGACTTTTCTTTTTGTTTCGCAATTTTAGTGTTTGATGGCGACTGGTCAATATTATTTCTGAGAAGATGTGTTTCTTCCGGCAAGCATAAATATTACAACAGTCATTTCACAGGAAGGGGTAAAAACAGATTTGAATTTAATGTTATGGACCACAGTGTGGGGAAAACTACCGTGGAGTAATATGTAGGATTAAAACACCAGCGCCACCTAGTCCTAGTCCTACTCCGTCCACAGAAATGAACTAAAATATTGTTTCTGACGCCACAGTGAAGAGCAACAACACGAAGCTCTGCCCTCTTTTCTGCTGCTGTCATTATTATGGGATGGCTCGATCTAATTTGGTAACACTTCGGTTTAGACTGATGCTGTGGGCGAGGAGACACACGGGATGTCTGCCTCATAAATATGACCATCCATCCATCCATCCATCCATCCATCCATCCATCCATCCATCCATCCATCCATCCATCCATCCATCCATCCATCCATCCATCCATCCATCCATCCATCCATCCATCCATCCATCCATCCATCCATCCATAATACACATTAACAGTTACAGTTACACTACTACTACTACTACTACTACTACTACTACTACTACTACTACTACTACTACTAATAATAATAATAATAATAATAATAATAATAATAATAATAATAATAATAATAATAAAACAAATAAATACATAGATATTCGAACTTGTCTGCATGTGAATGTATTTTTCCACCATAAACGCATGCTGTGTTCAGTATCATGTGTTATTCTCTTCGCCCCAGCTGTTTTGAAACCCAAACATTACACACCACGGTGAGTTATGGAGAGTAAATTATGTTTACTCCCGCCCCCATCTCACTCTGCTGGCTGGCTAAAAATGGAACCTCACACACGTCTTCAATTTCAAAGCAAAGGGGGAAAAAAGTTCTGATTAAAGGCGAAGATGAACGGAACCAGAGATACTGGATGCCAAATAATGAATAATAATGACGACAGGCTCCATTGCAGCAAACATCAAAGGAAAAATGCATGGTGAGAAAAAAGAGGAATAAAACTATAATAGTAGTTTGTTGGAGTGGCACAAATAAGAAGCAAACATAATTTCATGAAATGAAATTACCAGTGTGAAGAAATTAAGCAAAATATGTGAAAAATCAAAGTCACACTAATTGTTCCTGGATAGGCCAAAGAAGCAGACATTTCATCTAAAGTCAGGGGCCTTCCTGAGCTCGTGAAGCTGTGACGCAAAGCGTAAATATCAGTAAAGTCATCCTGGTCCAGCTTGATAGGTTTCATCAGTCTGAGTCAAATACAGAGTTTTTCTTTTGCCAACAGATCCTGTGGGTTAGGTGCGCTAAATTTCAACAAATCTTACTTTAATAGGTCACCACAGTAACTCACGAACAAGAGCTGATTAAGTAAGCCGGAGCAAGGCGGAAATAGGAAAGACCGCGAGTATTAATCAGGAGTAGAAAAAAAGGAGAAAAAAAACTGTGTGAATAATGGCGGGGGTGTAGGGGATGTCAGTAACAGGAGTAACTGGTAGAGAAGTAAAGGAAGAGTCGGTGGAAGCATCGGCACTTCATCCTGTCTTCTTCCGCCTCCGTCTGCTGTATCATCGGTCCATCGGCCGTCATTTTCCCTCACCTTCTTCCCACAGTATTGGGACACATGATTTATCGGGGCTGCTGCCATAAACAACAGAACTCCTTCACAAAATCACAATGGCAGTCGTGGCCGCACGCTGACACCATGCCTCACTATAAATCAGGCGAAGTAGCTGGCTGGGAGGAAAAAAAATGAGAGAGAGGAGAGGGAGAGGGAGTGGACAAACTCAAGCGATAAAGAGATGTAGAGGCAAACAGGAGTTGATGGGAGAAAGATGGAGAAGAAGATTCAAGTGCTTCTGAAGATAGAAACAGCCATCGGCTAACATCGCAGAGCTCCCACTTTCCCTCCCTCATTGCTCGCTGCACAGCTGTATCTCTCCAACCTATAAACAATGGCTGATGATGATGGGTGGGGGGGCGTGATGTGTAAACAACACGACAGCCACATGCACCATGAGAAAACACGGCGAAAGATGAGGATTTGGGGGCATATTTAC